AAAGCACTTATTTCTTTCACCATTTTTCTTAGACAAAAATTTGTCCTTGATTTGAGGTAATTTTGACTAGCTTGCCAATGGAATAAGAAAATTTCACTTATCAGGCAAATAGTAATTTAAAATCAGTAAAACATTTTCACTTGTCAAGCAAATAGTAACTTAAAATAAGTTATGATTTGCTTGACAAGTGAAAATTCACTTATTCAATTGGCAAGCTAGTCAAAATTACCTCAAATGAAGGACAACATTTTTTATCTTTCTAAGAAAAATGGTGATAGAAATAAGTGTTTTAAGTTTTAAAATAAGTAAATTCATCTTACCTAGTATTTTCATCTTTCATTTTTTGCAGTGCAGTGAAGGGATCAATGAGAAATTTGGCGGGGAGGAACATTTGGATGTACAGATAAAACAGCTCAACAAATTTTTTCAAAATCTCTGTTGCATAACTTTTTTTTTTACTGTTTTTTACTATTTTTGATTTGCTGCTTTCAAATCTGGGAATGATATGGTTCTACATGCTCTTGTTTTCATGCAATTTTATGTTTTGGATTCCAGCCATTTGCGGTCATAATTTAGACCACAGGTGTCAAAATGGTCCGTAAAAGGGCCAAGGGGCTGCAGGTTTTCGATCGAACCAAGCAGAAGCACACCTGATACAGATATTTTAAAAGACTGATCTCAGCCTGCCCAGTTATTAGTTGTATTAGGTGTGCTTCTGTTCAGTTGGAATGAAAATCTGCAGCCCCTCAGCCCTTTCATGGACCAGTTTGACACCCCTGCCCTTGGCAGTTTTGAGTTTTGTATGGACTAGCCTGTATATTTTTCATTTTAACTTTTTCTGGCACTGAATAGCCCTTGTGAGCTGATGTGCCGGTAAGTATTGAATCATTCATTTATTGGACCAGCCTGCAGAAACCTGATTTTGAACATCTCATCCTTACCTTTGTACAGCAGAAGCGCACCTGACACCACTGATTTAGTCAACTGATCTAGGCCTGCACAACTGACTAGCTGAAGATGAAATTTTGAGATTGTGAAATATCTTGATTGCAAAAAAACTGTAACTCTTGGGGGAACAAAACTAACTTCAGATCTGAAATCAGCACACTCAAATTAGGTAATACCAAGTGTTGATATCAATGCAACAAAAATGTTGTTGACCAGTGTCATAAATTGTTTGATTAGTGCTAATCCATCCAAAGGCAGTATAACGCCTTTCAGGCTGCAGTTGCATCAAAATTATTCAACCCCCATTGCAAATTAGGTTTACTGGCAAAATTTACAGACTTTCAGCTGTTTGAATGAACAAATCAAACAAGAACAATTTAAATAGCTCAACACAACAAATATTACAAGTTGCTTCTCCATATTCAACACAAAATGCCACTTTTAATGACTATTACAGGCTCAAAATTATTCAACCCCTTCATGACAAGCATCTTTAATACTTAGTAGAGCACCCTTTTGCCGCTATGACCTGCTGGAAATGTGATGCATAGGCAGACGCCAGCTTTTGGCAGCATTCCCAAAGAATCTTAGCCCAGTCCTCATGGACAAAGGCCTCCAGTTCACTAATATTCTAGGGTTTGCATGCTGTAACCGTCTTCTTCAAGTCCCAGCAGAGATTTTTTATGGAATTCAAGTGAAGCGACTGTGATGGGCAATCTGGTATCTTCCCTGACTTCTTCTGAAACCAAGCCTTGGTGGATTTTGAGGTTTGTTTAGGATCATTGTCCTCTTGGACGGTCCAATGATGCCCAAGTGTCAGCTTCCCTGCAGACGGCATTACATTTTCTCCTTGGAAATCCTGGTACTTGACTGAATCCATCTTGCCTTCCACACTTAGCAGATTTCCAGTGCCAGAGGAAGCAAGGCAGCCGCAGAGCATCAAAAAGCCCCCGCAATTCTTCTCTTGAGGCAGGGCGTACTTTTCAGCATATGCCTCTTTATTCTCCCTGCAGACATACCACTGATTCATTAGCCCGAAATACTCCAGTTTTGTTTCATCACTCCACAGAACAGTATCCCAAAACTTCTGTGGCTTATTTATATGGTTTTGAGCATATTGGAGCTTGTGCTTTTGGATCAGTTGTGGTGTATATTTCGGAGACCTTCAACGTTTAGTGTACGCCCTACTGTGCAAACTGAAACCTCAGTGCCTCCTGCCTCCAAGTCTTGCTGTGGGTCTCCTGCGGTCACTCGAGGGTTTTTCACCACCCGTCTTCTCAGGAATCAGGTGATAGCCATTGATAGCTTCCTCTTTCTGCCAATTTTGGTACTGTAGCCACTCTTCCTTTAACTCTGAACTTGCTAACTATGCTTCCAACTGTATCTCTACAAACATTCAGTGCCTGTGCTATCTTTTTGTATCCTTTTCCTCGTTTCTGCCTGGCAGTGATCTCCTTTATTGGACAATTCTCTTGGCAGCCATATTTCTAATATGCAATCAAATGTCACTGTCAACAAACCCCTAGCCAGAGCAAGTATTTGATGTGTTCTATCTCCAGCAAACCTGATGCAACTAATTAAACTCTTGATTAGCTGCATTAGGTATGCTTGAGACAACAACTGATTTGGAAATATGCTCTTATGACGGATTCTATTCGGGGGGTTGAATAATTTTGAGACTGCAGTTGTCATTAAAAGTGGCATTTTGTGTTAAATTTGGAGAAACCACTTGTAATGTTAGTTGTGTTGAGCTATTTAAAATGTTCTTGTTTAATCTGTTTATCACAATCAGCTGAAAGTTTGTAAATTTTGCTAGTAAGCCTAATTTGCAATGGGGGTTGAATAATTTTGATTGCAACTGTATGTCTTCTGAACCGTAAGTCGTAGGAACAAAATTCTTTATTTTGTTAGATTTTGTGGATCAAGACAAATCAACCTATATAAGCCCCACTCATTTCCACTTATAAAAATGGTCTGCCATTTTGAATTGTTGGTAAAAAAAAAATCTCTAAAAACTTTAATTTCTATCTCCTACTAGACGGTGCAATCAATTTGCACAAAATTTGGCCAACAGCATCATCAGACCAAGATCTAAAATCTTAGCATGAAGAATTTTGCTATGTTAAAGGATGTAGCCACAGTAAGCCAATGAATTTCGACAGTGTGGCTTCTATGGATATAATGAGTTGCCAATACTAAGTGCAATGACCAATCCTCACTAAAATTGAGATATGTCATCCACAGGCCAGGTCAATCAAAAAAATCAAATTTGGCATAAATCTGTCCATAGATGGTGCTATAGCAAACAAATGGTCATAACTTCTAAACCATTTGTCCGATCTACTTGAAATTTTGTATGCTTCATGTTGGTCAGGGTTGCTATGTAAATCCATAAGAACAAATTGGCAAATGAAACAACATGGCCAACATCAGCCAATCAAATCGTCGGCATCAGTGTTGATGTCCGCGTTGGCGTCAGTGTTAACTTTGAACTTCTGCCAAACCATTGAAGGGATCAAGGGGAAATTCGGTGGGGAGGTGTATTTGGATGGACAGATTAAAAATTGTTCGATTGGTGTAAATGTGTCCATAGGTGGCGCTATAGCAAACAAATGGTCTAACTCCTAAATCATTTGTCCGATCAATTTGAAATTTTGCATGCTTCATGTTGGTCAGGATTGCTATGAAAATCTGTAAGAGCAAACTGATAAATGAAAAAACATGGCCAACATCAGCAAATGAAATTTCAGTTGCCCTTATACTCACTTTAGCTGTCACCTGTCATCAAACTTTATATTGCTGTTAAAGATGTGGAAAAGAGCCATTTTCATTCAAATTACTTTGATATATTTATATCGATTTAAAATTACTTTTTCCATATTTATTTTATTTAACCTTTACTTAACCAGGTAAAAAAAAACGGTTAGGAAAAAAAAATATCTTTTTCAATGGTGACCAGCCCAAGAAGGCAGCAAAGCTGAACGTTGAGAACACGCTGATTGCATACATTAGAATACCGAACAATACATTGGTGAGAAAAAAAAGAAAAGCACTAAAGTTGACACGTCAAGAAAATGGTTGCAAGTACACAAGACATATATAGCACATACAAACATAATGCAACAAAATGGCGGTGCAAAGGAGATTTACAATATACCTTGGGCAATAACTTCTAAACCATGGGTTGTAGGAACAAAATTCTTTTTTGTTAGATTCTGTGGGTCGAGACCAATCAATCCATGTAAGCCACTTTAATTTTTGCAAACTTTCTGGCATTTTAAATTGTTTCTGAACCCTTTAACCCCTTAAGCCCTGAGCCTCTTTTTCGAAAATGGCAAGCCCAAAATGAAATGAGTATATCTCTGCAACTATTTGGTCCATTTGAATGATCTTGGTATCATAATAAAGGTAAAACCATTTGGGATTTCTGTAAAAATCAGTGTATATGTCACTGAGTCAGAGTAAATGAAGATGGAACACAATATAAATCAAAGACCTAATTTTGCACCAAACAAAGTTTTACTTCTATCCCTTGTAAACTTAATTAGTTGCTGTCTGAAACCTCTAAAAATTTACAGCACAGAATCTCACCATTATCTGTAACAAAGTTTATTCTAATCAAGTAAATCAGAACAAAATTAGAGAGGAATGTCTAGGTTGCTTCTCCAAATTGGCAATTCAGGTACCTTGTGTGCCAAATCAGATTTCTCAGATATTAAACCGTAAAACTCATCTAATTTCACTAACATGTCACTACAGGCATACATTTCACCCAAATACAACCAGTTTTTAATTTTTAGAATTTATAAGTTTTTTATTAATATTTCTACCAGTCCTATAGCCTATACAGTTTCCCATTCAAAGACAATAAATACAAAGAAAATGAAGTTTGGCTCCACTGGAGCAGATTTTTTTTGTTTAAAAAAAAAGCAAATTAATAAGATTATGAATACAGAATGGGTTAAAAAAAATGGGGAAAAAAGTCAAAAGAATAAAATCCTCAGCAATTATTTTTACAAGCAAAATGGCACTATTATCTTACTAAAGCACACCTGATCAGAGACTCGAACGCGGGTCGCCCGCGCTGCAGCCCTACACCCTAACCACTAGGCTATACCATTTAACTGATGCTGCTCTCAAATTGCCCATATAAAGAATGAGTCAAAAAAACAAGTCACTCACCTTGCTTGTACTGTTGTGCCCTCAGTATTCATGCATTTCTGTCAGAAAACGACTTTGAAAATGACGGTTGAATATTTAGCGGATAATTATACCGAAAATACCACAAACAAACCTGTTAAGCATTTATATTGTCACGCTATTTAAGTACATTCGAATGGCCCACGGACTCGGTTTGACGCACTGGGAACGCAAGGCTCTAGCTCAGGCTAGCTTTGTGCGATAAAGGTGCTTTAGGGCTCGTTGGAAACCTCAGAAGCCATAGAATCAAATGGCTACTGGCAAAGTCTTACTGACAGCATCACAAGCCAATCACAGAGAGGAAAATACATTGCAAGCAAGCGAAATGCTGAGGAACTGAGATCTTTGAAGCAATGCTCGAGAAGAAAAACATGCTTTGAGACTCACAGATCTAGTTTCATTATAACACAGACACATTGAGCTAACAATAGCAAGCATGGATTTACCCTCAAACTGTTTTTTTACTGCAAATTATCAAAGGTAAGAAATTTCTTTGCTCATCTCTGTAGACTGTAAAGTGTATGCCTGCTGTTCTTTGAGTGTGGTGTCGGTTTAAAATGACAGGGCTCATATCGTTGGATTCTGTGGACTTTCCTCTTTCATTTGAGTTATCGTTTTTATGCATAGCACAAATTCAGGAGAAATTCTAGCGATTCAGCGCTGATATGATTTTATCCTATGTTTTGCTACATGCTTATTTACTTGCTTGGTGCTTGAATTGTGTTCGGGTGAGGTAAAAATGGTCTATGTGAGCTTTTTGCCTAGTTTCTTCGCGAAATGTGGATATGCCGCTTGACAATGTTGCGATTTGGAAACATGCTGTATTTATTATGCATAACCACCACCCCTAGGTACCGGGGCGTAGGGCTTAAGGGGTTAAAGAAGACATATTATGCTGAGCCATGCTTTTTGACATTCTGAGAATGCTATAAACTTCCACCTCCATGCCGAACATCGAAAAAAGTTGTCAAAAATGACACATAGGGGTTCTGCCGTAATTCTCAAACGGGAATTCACGTGATTTCCTGCCTCTCGGAACGCCTCGTAACAAGAACTTCGCGAGATCTGTCGAAATTATTTTGTCACGATTTCAAGCCAATCAGGAGGAATTTATAAAACCTGTGATGAATCAGGAAGAATGCGCTCTGAACGTGCCCACGACGCCCGCCTCCAAACCGCCAAGAAACACACGAGAAGCAGACCGAGTCAGCGTCTCTACCCAGACAACTGTGATCAAGACCTCTATAGGCACACAATTTACACCGTCAGGATGCACCAGCAGATCCATAGCGACCCAGTTGGCTTATGGAAAGTTGAAACAACATGTGCGAAGTAAAGGTATGTCTGGAAAATTGTAACTTACTCACAGGTGTCTATTTGCTAAATCCAAAATCATTGTTGGCTACTACACTTGATATATTCCACCATGGGTGAATGAATAATGCAGCTTTCAGAACGCTGTTGTAGCAGGATCATGTAAATAATTCCAGGATAACTATGTTTTTTTTTTTTTTTCACTGGTTTTTGCCCTAAATCTTACCCTGATATGATAGTGCTATTATCTGATTGGCTATTGTACAACCCCTTCCCTTTTTTTGATTGGCTGGCAGGTGGCAAACTGCCACGTTTGATTCCTGCCGGTTTCCACAGTTATAGCGGTGCTGCTGCGCATGTAGGCCTATTGTTGGAAATTGTTTTCGTTTTAATCATTTTTTTGCGTGAGAAATACTATGTGCGGCGTAAGTGCGTGACATCTGACTGAAATGAGTGACAATCACGTTCATTGCGTGAGACTTGAGAGCCCTGATTCCACATAGCAGATGGGTCTGGCCCGGATTAGGCATCAAGCCGGCACTGCTAGGCGACTGCTGGCATGGCAAGTGGTCTGTTAACCGGATGTGGGCCAAGTCTGGTAATGATGGCACTGTTTATGTGATGGAATGCCACATGTGGACCGATTGTGTCCGCAGCTGACCCTGTGCTGGCCCATGTGTGGGCCGGCTCTGGCAAACCAGATTTGGGCCACAAAAGGGCCATCATTTTTGCTGTATGTGGGTCGGAACTGGGCCAAGGGTATGCATTATGTGGGCCAGAATTGGGCCAGGCCAATTTTGCTATGTGGGATATAGTATAGAGTATACTGTGTATACTAAAAGAGCACGTGGAGCTGGGTGGGGGCGGGCCTTGGAAACCTAGGTCTGCCCCTTCTGCCTTTGGTTCCGCCCCTGGAAGGCTCCGCTAAACCGACCAATCATGAAAGAGTGTAGTCCATAACCGACCGTTTTCAGGAAGTGGCTGCAAGGCTGTTAAAATGGGTGTTTTTCTGGGTGCAGCTCCGAGAAACGTAGGGAGTTTTTCGAACTGAAAGTCATGTTAAACTACTCAGTCGATGTTTAGAACTAACACAATGGGAACATTAGCATAGTGAAAATGGCAAAATATGTCTCCTTTAATTTTTATCTCCTCCTAAGCAGTGAGATAAATTCACGCAAAATTGAAGGGCATGGCCTATATTGATATAAAGAGCTGTAACTCCTTAATGCAATGTCCAATCATTACCAAATTTGAGACCACACATCTACGGGTCATGCAACTTCTTCATACTGAATTTAGTTTGAATTCGGTTCATAGGTGGCGCTATAGCAAACAAATGGTCATAACTCTTAAACCATTGTGCAAGCAACTTTTAATTTTGCATATTTCATAATAGTGAAGGTTGCCATAAAAACCTGGAAGAACAAAGTGATAGTTTAAACAATTTCATTAGCCTGTATACTCTGTCATCAATCATGGAATTTAATACTTTTGTTAAGGATATATGAAAGGACAATCTTAATGCAATTACTTTGATTGGCCAAATGATGGCGCTATAGAGAGGTACAACAAATTTGATTTCAATTGGCCAATATGTGGTGCTGTATTAAGAAATACAATGTAAAATTATATATTTGTTTTCAACCATTAGACTTATTGGTTCTAATTTTGCATATTGGATCTCTGTATGAGAATCAAATAGTCTTTCCAACATGCAAAATAAATATTTAAATATCTGGCTGCTATTTGTCAATCAGGTAACAGCTGCTATTTCATAGACATGGCAATGACTAATCAATGCGAAAGTAGCAGGGCAAAGAATACCACGCACAGTTATGTGTCATGAAATGGAAATTGTTTGAAAAACACATAATTTGTGTCCTCACTGCTTCAAAACTAATGATTACCTCATGTTGCTTGGACCACATAGTTACCACTTGTACATATATAGATTTTTTTACCCTACACAAATTACAAAAGGTGTCCCAATGTTGGACCCAAGCATAAAAAATACTACCATTTGTGAGTTTACATAACACTCAAGCCTGAAATAAAACAAGTGAGCTACAGTGTCCATGGCACTATTTTTAACATTTGATAGCACATCATTGCATGCAGTGACTACTTGACGTCTGAGATGCATAGACATCACCAGATGCTGGATATCTTCTCTGGTAATGCTCTGCCTGGCTGTACTACAGCCATCTTCAGTTCCTGTATTTTGCCTTCAGACTCCTCTTCAGCATTTAAAATCCATATTAATTTGGATTCAGATGACGGACACTGCCAAGAGAGCCAGAATAACAAATAATGAGTGAGTGTGTGTGGGAGGGAGGGTGATTTGTATGTCCACAAGTGTGTGAGTGAGTAGCATGTTTATGCCAGTGATTGTGACTGTGTGCATGTATGTGTGTGAGTGAGCATTCATATGTGTGTTTGAGGGCTGTATGTGAATATGTGCATGTGTTATGTTGTAGCCTTTAACTTATCATTTCCATAGGAAGAGGTTTTTGACACCTGTTGATAACTGTGTTCCACCGTAGGACAGGATTACCAAGGCATTGAACTACATCCTGTCCAATCAGGACACCGTCAACGCCCAGATTACCCAGCTGCAGAATGCAATTACACAAACTGAGGTAATTTACTGATAAAAACATACAATGATTCACAACATTATGCAAACAGAGGTAATTTACTGATAACAATGATGCATAGTATTACGCAAACTGAGGTAATTTACTGATAACAATGATGCATAGGATTTCCAAATTGAGGTAATTTATTGTTGACAAAACACCGAATGAGCCACAACATTATGCAAACAGATAATTTACTGATAACAAAGATGCACAAATTAAGCAAACTTACGTTATTTACTGGTAACAGTGATGCGCAACATTGCAGGCACTGAGATATTTAGTGATGACAAAACAAAAAATGATCCCCATCATCACACGAACTGAGGTAATTTAATGATTACAGAGCACACAATGATGCAGAACATTATGCACATTAAGAAAACAAAAAATGGTGCGCAACGTTTTGCAAACTGAGATAATTTACTGACAAGAAAACACAATGATGCATGGCTGTAGGCAAAATGGCGTGCACCTTATGTAGCTAGCTCAGGCAGACAGCTGAAGAACTATATTAATTTTCATTGACTTTCCCATACATATCTGTTGTGGCCCCACCCCTCTGTGTGGCGGGCTATTTAAAATGAAAGATGACTTTTGCCTGAAACCAACATTAAATAAAATAATTACCCATATGGAGCTCGGATAATATGTATTGAATTTTTTGTGAAGTAGAACAATGCTTCAAATTACGAAACTGGGACCGAACAATTAAAAACTTGTGGTCGCTATCTTTCCATCCCTCAAAAAGATTTCACCAGTAAGAAATGAGGAACATTTTGGCAGTCACGTGACCGTGACATCAACTGACTTTAGCTTAACCGATGTCTGTATAGGCTTAACTCATTTTGTCCTAAATTCCCACTCGTTTGAGCCGTTTTGTCAGCAGAAATTGGTCAATGCACAAGATAGTGCGCCCCTATCTTCTTGTGTTGGCTGTTAAGCAATGGGAGATTTGTGTATGAT